TGTAGCTTGCGCTAAAACAAACACAATAAAGCATTGCATTACTTCAATGATTTAGCAGTAGTGAATTTTCATTTTTAATCAAATAATACAAGACTATATATATATATATATTTGCACCAAACATGCTCGCCCTTTCAGCCGTGGGGGCGTTATAATGTGACGGTCAATCCCACTATTTGTTGGTAAAAGAGTAGCCCAAGAGTTGGCGGTGGGTGGTGATGACTAGCTGCCTTCCCTCTAGTCTTACACTGCTAAATTAGGAACGGCTAGCGCAGATAGCCCTCGTGTAGCTTTGCGCGAAATTCAAAACAAAACAAAACAAACGATACTCGTGGTGGTCAGAGCAAAGATAGCCCTTTGTGTAGCTTTGTGCTTAACTACAAACAAACAAACAAACCAGAGTTTAAACTCTTCCATTTAATCTAACATTTGCTTGAAGTTGTTTCGTAATTCCTGAGATATGAACGAACGTTTTGCTTTAATTTTCACAAAATTAGAACTTTAAACAGTCCTGGAGGAACGCTATGATAAAATAAGTAACAAAGACCCGTCACAAAGAGATCATGTCTGACTTTCAATTTGTTAGACGTAATTAACGAACCATCTGCAAATATAATTACATCATAATTATATGAATTAATGTGATATAACACTCATTGTAAGTGATGGCATGGCCAGGTGGTTAGGGCGCTCAACTCACAATCTGCAGATCGAGGGTTCGAATCCCCGTCACACCAAAACATCCTCACCCTGTGTCCGGACTAGGACCGTAGTCCTACTCTCGGAGAAACACCATGCGCAACTACTATTGTAAGTGATTTAAAGTAGTGTAAACACGCTGTTGCCAGAACATTAACTTTAAAAAGTCGGCCTGTCATGCTGTAATTGTATCGAAATGAACACAGGTGTGGCTTAGTCTTTAGTGTGTTCGGATTGTGAATATAGAAAGAAAATGTTCTTTGGGACTGCGGGTTCTTTGTAAGAGCGACGGTCAAATTCTTCTTAGTCAGAAAAAGTATCTCAAGAGTTGGCGGTGGGTGCTATAAATTCTAATACCAACATACATGTCGAGTTTAAATTTTACTATTATAAAATAAAAAAACATTGAAATTCCTTATAATTGGACGTATTCTTATGTATTCTGTTATCATTAGAATATTCTCTGCTAATTTTTAATGATGCTTATATCAGTATATATAAAACAAAAACGTTTTTATTGATATGAAAATTAGTGAAAGACATTAAGCTATTTTTTTCATTAATATTGTAACATGGCCTGAAAAAAATATTAATCTGGTGATTTAATGAATTGATGCTTCAATATTTTTACATTTTTTAATCTTTGATAGTATATCAAGGAAGCGTCAAATCAATTATATAGGCAGGCTTAACATTATGGTAAAGTGCAGAGCCGTATGGCTCTATACAGGTTTTAACTAAAGTGAAATGTCGCATTGCACATTTTGACATTATTTAATACTATTCTAAAGTTATCGTGTACATTGCGTAGCATATATTCTCAACGAAAAATACCTTTAAATTTTATATGAAATTTTAATGTCTTACATTTCTGTATCAATTATGATTAACAAGAATGCAGACACCGGATATGAGATGGGGCAATATATGCAATCTTTTCCGGTTTACAGCGCTTGCGGAAGAAGACATTGTAGCTGTTACGTTCGTCGACATTTTAAATTGTATACTTGTAAAAGGCTTTCAGTTATATTATGGATTCAGGTGATGCCAAAAGCGAGAGTACCATCACAAACTTTAGAAGTCAGGTATCCTTTTTTGTTGAGTTTTTAGCTTAAGTATTAAAGTGGTTTATCCAGGTTACAATCAAAGCAGAAAAACTCAAACTTACACGTAACGATTGTTCTGACGCCATATTTGTCTCGTACTCTCTGTCGCCCTTTGGAAGCCTGCAATCGAGGTGCCCATCAGTTTTCTATTTATACATAATTATATTTATTTACATATGACTTTAGCCTTGTCTAGTTTTGTCTACCAAATGTACTTGAATTTTTCGTCAGATCGATGTTGCTGTTCTTTTAAATTAATTTTATTCTAACTAAGATAGGCTTACTTACGTGACTGAAGAATGAGCTTAGTTGTTATCGTCTTAACGTTATTGTTACAGTTAGAACGAGAAGTGTTACTGTTAGAAACAAAATGGGTGTAGACTGCGAATATGATGTATAATGGGATTAACTGTGAGTGTGAAACTTAGAAATTGAGAGTATTGATGATAATTATTATTTCGAAATTACAGGTTATAAGTTATTTAATAGTTATAAACTTTTTAAAAGATGGTTGGGTGGTTATATAAAAATGATAGTTAAGAAATTGAATCCATATGGATTACAATAACTTAATACTAATTCAAGAGTATAAACTAATTAATTGACAGTTGTTATATGGCACCTGATCAGACAGAAGAGGACAATGAGAAACTGTATAATAAGATTTGGGTTGCTACTACTGAGTGCTAATGATTATGAGAAACCTTAATTTTACATACATTGATTAGGATTGTATGAAGTCAAATTATGATGGGGACAGATTTTTTTGAAGTCATTAAAGATGATTTTTTAAACCAAATGGTCAGAAAGCTAATTAGTGTGATATTTTAGATTTATTGTTAACCATTAATAAGGATATGGTTGCAAAAGTTTAAGTATATGAACACTTGAAGAAGAGTGATCATTGCATTATTAGGTTTGATAATTTGCTACATTTGAGTGGAAAATAAATGAAATTTTAGTTCAGAATTTTCAAAAAGTCAATTTTGAGATCATAAAACAAGATTTATCATTAGTGAATAAGCATAATGAGTTATTAAGTGATGTGGGACAGATTTGAGAAATTAAAAAAACATTACTTTTAATTCAAGCTAGGTCTCCCAAATCAAACCTAATTGGCTTTCTAAAGACATAAAGGAGAAATTCGGTGATAAAAATTTAAAACTGACAGATAAGTTAAAAGATTCACAGAAATATAAGACATCTAGGGATTTGGTTAAAAGGAAATCGGAAAATGCAAAAGGATGTATGAGAACGAACTAGCAGATAATGTTAAAACTAACAAGAAGGTCTTTTTCAAGTATGTTAAAGGTAAGCAAAATAGTAACTCTTAAGTATTTGCTTAATCTTTACATGCACTAAAGTTCAAATGCTTGCAAATAGCGAAGAAAAAATTTCTAAGGAACATTTCAGTCTGCATGCCATTCCAATTAAAGTCACAAGAGAAAAATCTGTTTACAGACTTAATACATTAGTAGCCATTGTTATTTGGCTAAGATCTGTATGGACCTCAGAAAGGTACTTAAATATTAAAATTGAGATTGGACCTTTAAAGGATGCTGATGGCAAGATTTTTGTTGAAGATTGTAAAATGGCTGCATTCTTAAATGTTTGCTAGTGTTTTTACAAGTAAAGATATTAGCAGTATTCCTGACCCTGAGCATTCAATGGGAGATACTGGAATTAAACTGAATCATGTAGATATTAATCACTTGGTTGTAAGATTTAAAGTAGGAAAGCAACAGAACCAGACAAGGTTTTTCCCCTAGGATTATAAAAGAAGTTGGATATTTGAGCTTCTCTCTGTAATATTTCATTAGTGAATAAACAGTAAGCAAGTGCCTGATGATTGGAGAGTCATTGATGTTACTTCTATTTTTAAAGGAGGTGATAGCTGTCAGGAGTGACATTTCAAAAGGGGGGGGGGGTATTGGAGCTCCAGGGTAGAGTGAAGTTATTAACTCGATTATCCAATATAATCAGTTGCCTATGAGCATGTTTCCTCTTTTTTTAGTTTTGGGAATGTGCTTATTTTGAATTAAAATCAAATTTGTCATAATTTTCCCAAATCTTTTCCATATCACCTATTGCTTTTAATGTATTCTTTATACCTTCTGTCAGGCTATTTATTCTATGAAGATTTCTACCAGACTGTTTAAATCCAGTGTTTGTTACTTTGCAAGAAATGTACATTTCCCCAAAGTGACTAGCACTACTCGCATAACTAGTCTTCCTTCTTCAAATGCTGTGAATGTTTAACCTCAAAATAGCACCTGCTTTAACACTGAAGGACGTTGGTGTTGATGTTCTTGCATGATGTGCAATATAACCCATGTGTAGGAGAGGTATTATCTTGAGAGAAAGAGAATAACGAAGGCAGCTGTAAAATGAATTTAATCACTTTCTTGACCACATGCTACATGAAATCTGCAGACATATATATATATATTAAATGATAATGAATACTATAATGATAATATAAGAAGGTAGAAATGCATGTTATATTTACATACCACACTTTCTTCTCTCCCTTACTTTGTGCTTGTCCTCAAGCTGACAATTAATGCTAAGTTGACACCCAATAAACTTTCAATCCAGACCTGGTCAGGAAATATGCTTTTTCTCACCACTGAAAACACACCTAGCATAAACATTGTAACCCTTAAACAAAGAAATAAGGGTTGCAACTGTCATTATAAACCTTATGAATGTCCTTCAACCATGATAAGCTACACATAGTAAAAACGTTTTAACAAAGAATAAAAAAAAACAGTTTATATTACTGCAATTTGAAATCTTGTATACAAACCGCTCTTTAACAAAGGAAGTGATAGTAATGTGTACGAGTTCTTACACAAAGAAATACCATTTAACATAGATGCAAAATCAATTTTACACACAGAAAGAAAACCCGTTAACAATGAGAACCATTAAGTCATTATTTTATATTACAATAAGAATAACATTTATCCCAAAATATTGCAAAACAGTACCAACAAAACAACGCAAAATACAGTGCACGATAAATATCTTTCAAGAAAGACCAAAGTCTATCATCAACAGATATTCTCATTGTAAAATGATAGCTATGCTATCAAAGAAAAAAACTTTAACAATGATTAATACACTATAAAAAGAAAACCTTTTTTCATTGATATATAGTACAGGATTTTCACTTTATTAATCAAAATACCCTATAACGTTGATCATAGATATGATAGTTATATTTAAAAAAATATTTGAACATTGACTTGACAGTTCAAGGCATAATAAAACAGACCTTTCAATAAAAGATGAAATATGCCAATCCAAAGAAATTAATGACAGAACACAAGTTCAAAAGAAACCTTTTCACAGTGATACAATCCACTTTAGCATTATGTTGCATTACATACAATTCCTATTAACTGAACAAAGTTGGGTGATTTGACCAACTTTAGAACTGTGAAACTACACATACTGTAACTCAGAATTTACTATGTGTAACTTCACAAAATTTGGCAAGCTTTAAGTAAACATTACAAGTCTATTGCACATAAAAAAAAACAGATTTTTAATGAAGTATTTTTCCTGAAGATGCGTCTACATTTCTGAAGCCTTTACTGAGTCAATCCGAATGAAAGGTGATTTTCGTCTCAAGAATAAAAATTATTTTATGTACTTTTATCTCACAGTTTCATGTTTTATTTATTTAATCTCTAGAACCTCCTAAATGAATATTAAACAGTTTTTTCTGTAAAACTATTCTGTTTCTTGTTTTCTCCACCCTAACATTAACTGTAGAGAAATCGTCAATGAACAGTAAAATGAAAAGTTTAGAAATATGAAATGAATTAATACCATTTTTTTCTTTGTACTGACTGCATTATTGATCAAAAAATTCCAGGTTACTTATATTAACATTTTTGAGTGTTAACGTTTTTCTCCCATCTGTTTTATTTTAATTTTATGATTTCATTGTTGTAATTTAACTGTTAGGAGAGTAATATTTGTTCAAAGATAATAAATCATAACGGGAACCCGTTAGCTGTATCGATATTTTACATGGCTGTTGAGCTTGTGTAATTTTAGATGTTTTGTTGTATTTTAGTATCTCCCGGTGGGACAGTGGTAAGTCTACAGATTTACATTGCTAAAATCAGGGGTTCGATTCTCCTTGATGGCTTTGCTGTAGAAAACACACACACACACGTATTCTTTTACTTAAGGTTTTTAGGCTGAGATTAAAAAGTTTATAATTTTTACATTTTAGTTACTTTTGTTAATTATATATATATCAATAAATAAAAATGTACATAAAAAGAGTTTTTAGTCCCTCTGCATATCTTAGTTGTTTGCACTTCATTAAAAATATTTTAAATTCTTACCTAAGCTTTGTTGAGTCTCATAAGCTTATGTGCCCATGTAGTTTTCAAATGTGCTTTAAAACACAAAAATATAACAGGCACTGGAACAGAATGTCCCATAACTACTATAATCCTTCAATAAATTGGTTAAAAAAACTACATTAGCTATTCAGAACAGCAAAACTACAATCACACAACAAGACATTTCTGTCAATTGAATACTTTCCATGCCAAATTCAAAAGGACAGTTGTTAGCTTCATATTGAGGAGAACCTGCATTTTCTATTGGTTATAACCATGTCTTTCAGCCATGTAAAGTGGCTTAGCAAACAATCTTGAAATCAGAGAGGGGTAGAGAATGGGCTTCTCTGATTCATTGGACAAATTTATTGATATCTCAGCAAATAAAAAGTTAGAAGGTTCGAATTTTAGATTCTGTCTTATAATTATGTATAGTTTTTATTTCTAATTGGTTGAAAACTGCAGTGTCATATTTTAGAATAATCTGAAGTAGGGAATTCAGAGCTCAGATACGTTATGTGACACATAAGAATGAAATTTGAAATTATTATTAAATTATTCTTTTTGAAATTAAAAACTTAAATTTAGATAACATAAAAATTTGAATTATAAGCTATGTTTTAATGCCAAGTTTATTGGAATATGTCAATAATGAAGTATTTAATTAAATATGGAATGTAACGCTGTATAAGCTCCCAACATGCGCACTTTTAAGAAAATAGTTAATATATACAACTTGAACTTCAACATAATACAAAACATCTAAGCAAAGTAACTATTTATAGGAATGAAACTCACAATCAGTATACTTAAATCCTTTCATAAGACACTGAATTAGGAATCAAGATGAATTTAAAAAAAAAACTATATGTGCGCGTGTATATCAACAAAAACCCTTGAAAGCAAAAATTACAGTAAACCATAGCAAAGCACATGATACTTTTTGCCAATAATTACATTACATTATAATTTGAAGTACAGAATTTTCCCTCGTAACAGGATTGACAAGATGCTATATTCAAAGATACACAAGAAGAGCCCTTTAACAAAGGAACAACCAATCAGTACCCTAAAATAGAATGTACCTATTCTTACATACATACAGAAACAAAAACACCTGTATGTGCATAGTCAGACAAAATAAACATGGACTGAATATAAAAGTGTTAGTGCTAACATATTTTAAAAAGAAAGATAGATGGAGAGACAATTATGATATACAAAATAGACATGGTATTCAATGGAAAGCATAAGGTCCAACTCACCTCAATCCCATCAGCAGGTTTTGGTTTCTTGGTATTTCTGAGGATGGAGTAAGTTTGATGTCGAAATTGTTCAGCCATAAGTTTCGGGAGGTTTTGTGCAGCAAATTCTAAAGTTACAGCTATGTCAACAGTTGGAAGTGTGCTACGTTGTATAGCGAATTTTAGTCCTAGGTTAAGAATTTTATTTTCTGTTATCACTTAGTGGTCTCAAACTGAAGTGCCAAATTTCAAGACAGGACACAAAGACAGCACAAGACTCGTGAAAATACAAAATTCAACCATTGCAAAACACACTATATAAACTGGGTTAAAACTAGAAGCCCGGCATGGCCAGATGGTTCGAATTCCCATCCCACCAAACATGCTCGCCCTTTCAGCCATGGGGGCATTATAACGTGACGGTCAATCCTACTATTCGTTGTTAAAAAACTTAGTGGTGATGACTAGCTGCCTTCCCTCTAGTCTTACACTGCTAAATTAGGGACGGCTAGCATAGATAGCCCTCGTGTAGCTTTGTGTGAAATTCAAAAACAAATAAAACTAAAATCATCAACACATACACATTTTGGAAAACAAAAAAATGAATAAAGAACCTTTCTACGTTAACACAATAAATCCTTCACTAAACAGAGAATTGAGATTAGAGGTCTGCAACTCATGCAGTTTTTCCACCAATCAGATCCAGGGATAAATAAACCAAGCAGAACATGTCCTCCACAATCCACCAGGATACTATAAAGACCTGCAACATCTTACACAAACTGACCTGAAGATGAAAGACTTTCAAAACGTCCTTCTCAACACTAGTATAATATTGTTTTGAATTGCCATGTCCAAACTCCGGAATGAAATTGAAACGTATGATTTTCATCATGCCTCTGGTGAAATTTAGTTCCCATGGGACAAATATTTTAAAAAAATATGATGAATTTAAATGTTTGTGTAAAATTTTACAATAACAGCACCTTTTGTAACATAGTTGTAACAAACTTTCAGCTATCAAGGTTTTTGATTTCATGTTGATAAATATGTAGTACATGTGATGTGATTGATAGTGGTCATATATGTAGCTACAAGTTTTATTAGCCTTGTTGGGGATTTGTTTCACAATATATATATATATATATATATATATTCACTATTGGTTTGTGGTAAGATTTATAGCAAGAGATTTTTACTGTTTTAATAAAAGTATGATAAATGTAACATTTCTCTGTATATCTATAATGGAAGGTAGATTTTGTGAATTTTTCTTTGCATGCATATGCAAACTTAACCTTTTGTATATTATGTTCTACTTGAATGTGTGTGATGAAAAGAATTCTGGTGCATCAGTACAAATAATAAAGATTTTATGTTTATGTAATATGCTTTAGAGGCAACTGTAAATTACTCGTACGTTGTATGGCCTGAAGTTAATGTCATTTATACCTGTTTATACATATAGAAAGTTCTGGAATTGATGTCATACTGCAATGTTAACAACAGTCCAATTTGCACAAGGCTCCTCAAGTGATATTACCATTACTTGTTTGTTGTTTTGTTTTTTTTTGCATGTGTGGGCAGTTGATTTATATGCTAGACTTGTAAACTTGAGTTACATGTAGATTTCGTAAGTGATTCGTATAAGTCCATTAGTTTTCCTGATGTTTTCCAGCTGAGTACTGTTGCAGACAGTTTTCTCAAGTTGGCCCCAGATCAACAGTCTGAAGCTGTGAAACTTATCCAAGGTCTTCAGTCAGTTCTAGTTAACCACCTACCCATTAATGTCGATCCCCAAGACACTTACATGCTGGAAAGAAACCAGCAAATCGCCACTTTCCTCTTTCACAATTTAAACAATACTCTTGGAGAAGGTTCTGATAGTGATGTTTTTAATCAAGAAGAAAAGCCCAATATTAGAAGTTCTAAAGAAATGTGCATTCAACCATCTCCCGTTCCTTCACACTTCGTTACTGAGCAACGTGATTTCGTGAATGCAAGCAGAAGAAGCACAAGTAATATACGTGATGAACATTTGAATATTACCGCTCAAAGTTTTAAACCTCCAGAACATGCAGAAAAACATGATACTGCATACTCGTCCACTCAGGTAGAAAACCTAAGTGTCTTACAGTTTGACTCGCAGGCTAACAATTGTCTTATGACAAAGAACTTGGAAGTATCTGAAGCACAGACACAAATCCTTAGCCAAAATGCATCAGTCAGCTACAAAAGTATGGATGCTGAATCCATAAAATCATCGCAGACAAAAAATATGCCTACATTCTCTGTTTGTGACATTGGTCCTACTGATGCGGAATACAGTAACTGTGATGTGAGAGCATCATCTCTATTCCAAAATTCATGCAACATGTCAACCCAATCCTCACACAGTAAGTAATAAGTAATGAAGAGTTTTGTAAAAGTTTTTTTTGTTTTTTTTTTTTCATTGAAGCTGATACCTTCAAAAGGAGTGGTGGTGTTGAATTATTTTGATACAGTCCAGGTTTTGGATTGACAGTAATTAAACTTTCTAAAATTTCTAATTGCATCATAACATCAACAGTACCACTCCTCTTAAAAGTGTAAGCTTTAAATTAGAAATTTCAATTTTCTTTTTTTTAATTATTATTATAGATGTATTTTGATTGTAGAGTTATGATTTCACAAGAAAACCATAAGATATACACCAAGTACCAAGTATGCTGATGAAAAGTTAACTGTTAATATTTTTTATACATGATTTCAACTGTCATGGTTTTTCCTAGTCTGCTGAGGAAATAATATCATTGAGAAATCAGATATGCAAAATGCATAAAGTATGAACTACTGTAAATTTAAAAATTCTTTATACCTTTGTTTGTAGTTTGTTTACGAGCTGATCCTCAGTGAATATGAGGGTGTTGAACACCAGAACATTTTGTGGCCTGAGCTGTATTACGAGTGTTTGTAGATCCTATTATGTATTTTTCTATTCTTCAGGTACTCCAAAGGTTAGTCTTACAAGAGGTGATGAAGAGCCAAGAATACTTGCAAGACCTTCTTATGAGTCTGACAGCGCCCTTTTTTCATTACAGAGTGGAAAAAATTCTCCCGAACAAACTGACTGTGTGACTGCAAAAACAGAGGTTACGGGTAAATTACCTGAAAAAACACAAACATCCGCTAATAGAATAAAGGAACCCAAAACAAATATAAATGGTGAAGCGTCTCCAAAAATAACGAAAGGCAAACAAAAAAAGACAAGAACTAGGTTAAAGATAAACATTCCAGAAAGTTTTGAAAGTGAACAAAAGCTTAATAGTACAAAAGAAAAAACTATATCATCAGTCTCTAGTAGAGGCAGACCTGTTAAACAGAAATTATACTTCACTGACGAATTATATTCAGATGAGGAAAAGGACACTGTAGGCCGTTTAACTGCTGAGAAAAATGCTTGGAAATTTACAAAGTTTCCCGGAGTACTTAATAAGCACAAATCAGTGAAGCAGAAATGTTGTAAAAAGAACGTAATATTTTCAGAGAAGAAACTAATGGTGTCCTGCAGATTTTGTAAACAGAGTTTTGGAAGTCTTGAAAGTTTGAAACTTCATAATTGCAAACCTTATTCTGTCCCAGAAGGTAATGGAGTTTTGAAGTGTGAGTTTTGTGGGCTTCAGTTTTCTCATCAACAACATCTTCAGAAACACATGCAAGGTCATCAACGTAACAATTGTAGAATTTGTAACGCTCAGTTTCGAAAAAAAAAATTCTGTGTAAACACATGAAAACTGCTCATAAAATTGTTGAGCCAGAGAAACTTTATGAATGTCCATTTTGTGAACGCCATTTCTTTAAACGACCTTCGCTTCTTTCACATTTAAAAGAGCATGCAAACGGAAAGATAGTTTGTAAAAAATGTGGGGAAATGTGTGACAATGAAGAAGCTTATAGCTGGCACATGGAAAAACATTTAGAAGAATACGAATTTCATTGTACACAGTGCAATGAAAGCTTTGCAAGACGTCAACAGTATGAGAAACATATGATGGGTCATGAGAAACATGGTTGTACTATCTGTGGAAGTAACTTCTCCACAAAGAAAGACCTTATGAAGCATCGTCAGGTTGTACATGATATTCATGTGAAAGAGGAAAAAAAACATCTTTGTACAACTTGTAATAAAAAATTTCATAGGCCGACTCTACTCAAAATACATCAGCGAGTCCACACGGGTGAAAAGCCTAACAAGTGTTCAGAATGTGACAAAAACTTCCGCACATCTAAGGCACTATCAATCCACATGAAGACTGCTAGTCACTTAAAAATTGCTGGTAAAATTGATGTAGAAAAAGTCCAGTTAGAAAAACCATACCTATGTGCTCAGTGTGGAGCAAAGTTTTGTGCCAGACAAGGACTGCAACGGCATATGCAGCAGCTACATTGTGATCTTAGACCTTTTGAATGTCCATATTGTGACTATAAATGTAAATGTAAAACTAACTTGAAACGACATATAGAATTCCATACAGATAAAAGGAGATTTGTTTGTGAAGTTTGTGGAGCTGCTTTTCATGCATTTGCAACTTTAAAAGAGCACAATGCATATGTTCATTCTGATGCCAGAGACTATGTATGTGAACAGTGTGGAAAGGGATTTAAAGGCAGGAGTGGTTTAAAAAGACATATGAGAATTCACAGTGATGCCAGACCATACCTTTGCTACTGTGGTCAGTCGTACAAACGAATGTCACATCTGAAGAGACATATGGTTTCTTCTCATCACATGCAATTCAAAAGCAAGCGTGTTAAAAAAATAAATTCTGATGATTGTTCAGATGGAGAAACCAACTTCAGTTCACAGGAGTTGTCTGAACTCACAGGAATTTCAGAAGGGGACATAAATGAAACTTCTTATGATAGTTTAACTGTGGTTTTGACAAACACTGATGGATTGGCTCTAACACAACTTCCCTGGGGACCAGATGATTACATTCTTCTCAAAGTACCAACTACTCAGGAAGATAATGAAGCATCTCCTTCAGTATCAGATGCTCATTCCAAGAATGGAACCTCTACTTTAAAACACTTCTCAACAGTCTTGACAACTCCTCTGGTATCCTTATTACAGAACCAAGGACAAACAACTGGTACATTGACTGCATCTGGTGGGGATTTGACTAGGCCAGAGGAATCTACTCTTTCTCCCACCTGCTTTCAATCTTCAATTGTGCAAGCCTTACCACAACATCCTTCTTCACCTTTGCCTTCTAACCCAGAGTCACATTTTGTACCTCCTTCAGAATATTCATTAATATCAAACCACTCTCTTCCGGATACAAGCTCTTTAGTTACTCTTTCAGCTGTTCCAGATGACGTGTCTCTTAATTCTCTGACAGGTTTTACATTTAACCATTCAACTCCTAATATTTCTGCTTCAAAAGTTCTTGACCATTCTTTACTTCCTCCTCTTTCCCAGGAAGTTGGAAAAATACAAAATTTCTCTTTGTATGAGAAACTAGAATCTGGATTGATGACTCATCGTCCATTATCTGACTTACCTCAACGCCTCCTGTCTGTTAGCTCACGCCAAGATTCGGTTACTGTAGAAAACACAACAACAGTGTGGACAACTCTCCCAGATCAAACTACTTCTGACACAACCCCAGTATTAGACGTTGACCAGTGTAAAAGCAGTACAGTTGATTCTGATCTTCTCAAACTTTGTAACTTTCCGCCTACCTCATCTTCTCATCTTCCCCAAGTGGCCACTAGTCTTTTCACTTGTACTGTACCTTCAATTCCAGAGCATCAGATTAGTCCAGAATTGTCACCACAGCAGGATATTGCCAGTTTTGCTTCACAGCTTGACACTGGAGGAGTTGAACAGTTTGTCTCTATATAGAACTACTGGTATTTGTATTGTCCATTACATAATTGATTGGAAGGTCAAACAAAATAGTGGAATTTATATCTTCATATTTATTGTTTTATTTTTTATTCTTTTGAGCAAACTAAATTGTGAAACTGTGCATAGCTGTTAGAAGTAGCATCACAATATTGTTAAATTGCTTCTTTTCATAGCACATTGAAAGAGGATGGTTTCGTGTTTGAGACTGGTTTGTTTAACTTCTTTCTTAAGGTCAAAGAAGGCTAATTGCACCTACCTGTTCTAAGATAATAGCAGCAAATGATACTTAAATTAATGCTACAATTTATGGAAATTGAAAATTTTCAGTAAATTTTGATTCCTGATCTGCACAAGGTTAAAAAAGTTGTAGCACAAAAGAAGATGGTTTGGATTACTGTTTTTAATATATATATAAACTTGATATGTTGCCAGTGCCCTTTAGTTTATAATCATGTGATTTTTTTTCCTACCTTAACAAATTTCTCAGTGGTTTTTTTCCTATGAAAGATACTGGTGGTATGGTTTAACCATAGACATGCCTATCACATTTCATTATGTTTTACTCTGTTAGTGAATGAAGATTTTAAAGCTTTAAATTTTTGTTTTACCTAGAACCCCACCTAATGAAAATGTGTACTGCAGTGGTTTAGCCATCCCACAAGGTAGCACATTTTATTTACAATTCACTTAGTACCAAAGTTAATACAAGGTAGCACATGTTACTTACAATTCACTTAGTACCAAAGTTAATACAAGGTAGCACATGTTACTTACAATTCACTTAGTACCAAAGTTAATACAAGGTAGCACATGTTACTTACAATTCACTTAATACCAAAGCTGATGTGTAATTATGACTGCTTTAACAACTGGAATTCTAGGTTGTTTTATAATTTTAATTCATTTGTACATTTCTTATTCTTCTGTCTTAAGTATTTAGTTGTTGTTTTTCAATAAGTGTTAATTACAGTTAACTTATATCTATTACTGGTACCTTTCTAAAGTTCCTGTTCATAATCATTTAAGTTGAGCTACATTTTGTCCTCCAAATGAAATGTTTCTTTATCTGGCAAACTTATACTTGAAGTCTTTGAGACCTGTTTATGTTGTGAGTATGATATCTCAGCTCTGCTCATATTCTAGTGTACTTTAATCCATAGATCTTTGTTCCATTCCTGTTTATTTCAGTAACAACGCTATCCTTGTTTGAGTTCTCAACATTCTTTACCTTCTTCTAGGCTTCATCATTCTGACTTGTCAGATTTTGATAAATTCAATGTTTGAGGATTTACTTGGCTCTTAAGCAGTATACTGGAGAAGCTTGTCGAGTGTTCTTTTCTGGCTGTGGTTTATTCTATATTCTGTAACCAACAAAGATAGGGGTTTCATCAGACAATATCAACTATTTCAGTTTTTTTTTCTAGTTGCTTTTTTTATCTTTTACTTTACCCAGGTTTTTTTTTCCCTTTCTCAGAGAGTGGTTATTGAAGTTTGATTAAAAATTCATATATGCAACCCTGTTAACATTTCCAAAACTATCATAAAAGAACTCTGCCCCAAAAATAACTAAATTCTTCATTCTGGATGATTAACTGTTCATTGGTCAAACCTTCTACAAGATTCATCAACATGGACACTATAACAAACAAGTTATCAATTAGAATAACATGAAATGTAAGGAAACACATATTTTTAGAAGAAGTTTTAACTAAATTGGCTAAACATAACTATCTTTCAACACCTCTATTACTTTTTCTATTAGTTATGCTAAATGTGCGACAGAGTTATATCTTAATACTCTTCTATCCTCAGACATAATACATTATTCATTAAATACATTGTTAGACTAGAGAGAGATAGCAATAATTACGTACATAGAGTTTTTGTGATTAATGTTTTCAATATTCTTGAAGTACAGCCATATTTAGGCAGCATGTCTCCTAGCAACTGTGGACTAAAGATTATTTCTCTTCTGGACCAAGAAACATGACGTTTTATACACATTTTCTTGTGTTCATCTGATTTCTCAACAAGTACTGTAGAGCTATTTTGCAAGTAGTTCTGTTACTAAATTGGTACATATGTGACCTTTTCTACTAAACCAAAACCATAACTATTTGTTAATTGGTTGATATGACAAGTTATTTAACATTGATCTTTTCACATATACTCCTCCACTTGTTGCTTCCCATCAAAGTTTTACTCCTTATTTTTTATAAGGTTACTTCCATTAATTTGATGTGTGATATAAACTTTTCTCTACTGTGATTCTGTCTGCTTTGTGCTGATAAGAAGAACCGCTAGCTTCCAAGTCTCATATTACAGCTTGGAATGCATTTTCAATCAACTCGTGTATTTTACTTTGCATCTTTCCCATCCTTAATTAGTCTTCTGTTCTTTGTTAAGTTTCTACTATGTTTCTGCCACTGTGTGTGTTCTTTCTCATCTTGTATGTGTGTGTGACCACATATAAAAGTTTAATTTTCAAAAACTTTAAGCAGTCATAATTTTAGCAAATGCTTCATGACCATATTCTAATTCTAGGTGGTCTTGGAGATCACCTTCAGTTGTACTAGTGCTGTTGGAACAAGGTCTGTAACTTCAGAAAGAGGGACACTTCACCATTTGTGGCTCCTTGAGATCTAGCTGATTTCATTATGTTGGCTATTGCTGTGTCTTAGATGTAGCGATGGAATGGTCAGACCTAACACCATCACATTTGTGGTTCCTTGAGATCCAGCTGATTCATTATGTTAGCTACTGCTGTGTCTTAGATGAAGGAATGAAATGGAATGGTCAGACCTAACCCCATCATTGATTCTATTCCTATGTTTTCATGGTTTTCATAGTAATATGTGAATCATGACTTGTTACAGATCCTTCCCATCTCAGCCATTAGTTCCTAGTGTCCTGCTTCAGTATTGAAAGTGCTTAAGATCTTGTCTGTTTCTTTCAGGTGAGTCTGCAGATGCATAGATGTGGGAAGGTATTTAATATTGGGGGTCAGATTTGAAAATTATCATCCTCATACAAAAACTTTCATGTTTTACATAGATGTTTCACAAGTATCAATACAAAATAATGTTTACAAACTGTATATATATTCAATGCTGTGTCACTTTGTTTTTGTTCATAAAAGTGTCATTATACATACGAGATCTGTTAAACATGATCTTTTATATGATGTCAAAACTTTATTCTACTACATCACAATATTACAAAGCTTAATTAATAATTCACAAAATTTAAAATGTTCAGGCACAAACTGTCAGTTTTTTGGCTTAAATATATACAGTAGCATAGAGCGATTGAGGCATTGTTGGGGCATAATACTCTTCAGATTTATCTTAACACACCTAAATGTAAAGTTCTCTCTGCTGTTGAGGTTATTACTGGTGCTGTTAATTACAGACAAAGAAGTTTATCCACCTCGCATAACAACTTCTTGCAAACAGGCTGAGCATCAAAGGCATCACAAGTATGGATTCTGGTAGCTGTGAAGAAGTATTATGCAGAATCAGGCCAGTATGCAGAATATTTGAAAGGGTGGAGGGGGGTCTAATTTGTGAGATCAAATGCCAATGCATATTGTGCAAAGTACAATCAGCATGCAAAGCTTGTTAATGCTACAGAGGTCTGGGGATATGTGATTATGTAGAAAATGATAAGTACCATAAGCAGCTTCTCTATAAATATATAAGCATAATGTTTTATATCACAAAAATAGGGGTTCAGCCAAACCCTCTTGAACCCCTTCTGCATACGTATCTAATATTTTGTATGAAAGGATATATTAAGATTTACTATATATCAAGTCTTGCTATGAGAGTCATTTATTTAATACATACCAATAAATATTATTAATAAATGTGCAGGTTCTATATAAGTCACTCTAAATAGTGAAAATGTGAAATGCATATAATTATATTATATATAAATATTAAATTGGTCATGACCCCCATGGTTCTGATGCCTAAGATATGATCATTTTGGAAATTTACTTAAATCATTATGGAAATGCAACCAATATATTACATTGCCATATCTGGATGATTAATTTCTCTATTCACAATCATCACTGGAAGTGTAACTGGTAGTTTGTTTTATGTTACATTAAAATTGCTTTTATCAACCAAAGAAATTGTCAGTTGGTACCAGTACTCTGTCTCATCAAGATAAGTTGACAAACTCATTGAAAAATTGGCTAGAACTTCCTGGCTTAGCTTTCAGGATAGAGGTCTTTATGAGTTAGCGAATGAAGTTGGTTTCTTTCATTCTCCTGTTACTCCATACTCTCTTGATGACAGAAATTGCTGGTGCCCAGGGACAAGAACCTTTTGTGGTATCTTCACTGAATCAGCTTTTTCCAGCATTGTAATCATACATTGGGTCAATAGGAATCACATCATTACCAGAAGAACCATAACCATCACCAGAAGAATCATAGCCATAACCATCAACAGAGAATCATAGCCATAACCATCAACAGAGAATCATAGCCATAACCATCAACAGAGAATCATAGCCATAACCATCAACAGAGAATCATAGTCATACCCATTACCAGAAGAATCATATTCATACCCATTACCAGAAGAATCATAGCCATAACCATCAACAGAGAATCATAGTCATAACCATCAACAGAGAATCATAGTCATAACCATCAACAGAGAATCATAGTCATAACCATCAACAGAGAATCATAGTCATAACCATAACAGAGAATCATAGTCATAACCATCAACAGAGAATCATAGTCATAACCATAACAGAGAATCATAGTCATAACCATCAACAGAGAAGCATAGCCATACCCATTACCAGAGAAGCATAGCCATACCCATTACCAGAGAAGCATAGCCATACCCATTACCAGAAGAATCATAGCCATAACCATCACCAGAAGAATCATAGCCATAACCATCAACAGAGAATAATAGTCATAACCATCACCAAAGGAATCACAGCCATAACCATAACAGAGAAGCATAGTCATACCTATTACCAGAAGAATCATAGACATAACCATCAACAAAAAATCATAGCCATAACCATCACCAGAAGAATCATAGCCATAACTCCTCATATCTTCACAGATCCATTACTAACAGAATGAGAGCTGTGGTAAAGAACAATTACTATTGATTGGTGTCGTTTCAACTATTGGACGTGTGAAGCATTTCTCACTCGGAGATTATGAACCAAGTATTCTTGATTATTTTGAACAAATTTCATGATGTTCACAGTTTTCTTAATGGTTATTTTGTTATCCTTACTCTTCTAGATTGGACTCATAAGTGAAGCTGTATATTAAGTAATACCTTTACATTAATCAATTTTCATCTGACAGGGTTCTAGAGGAATTCAAGTGTCAGTTTTTCTGTCTTTCTCGTGATGGTGCACTTTCCCTTAGTTTCATCTTCTTCGCAAATTGTTTTCCTGCTGTGAATGACTGTTGTATGAGTTTCTGCTTATTATTCAAGACAATCATTTTGAATGAATAGATGTCATTTCCTGACAGACTATCTGAATGAGTGGAAGGCCTTCCATTACTAATTTTGGCCAAAACTGCTGCAGTACAGTTTCATGTGGGATATTAAATCTCTATTCTTAGGGTGTAGAAACCTTAGCTGGCAAAGCGTGACATTTATTAGAAGTATACGTGTGATATTACATCAAAGTAAATTTGCTAATAATTTGAATCACATGATTTTTTGCTGTAAACCCGCTAATAATTTGAATCACATGATTTTTTGCTGTAAACCCGCTAATAATTTGAATCACATGATTTTTTGCTAGTCCAGTATGGGTTTCCAGTAAGAAGAGAATATTATAGCCCTTCAACAATACCTTGTTTATTGTATGCTGCTGCTGACAAAGCTGTTCAGTCAATATCAGAGCTCGTCAGAACTGTGTCGTGTAGTTTTCTTGACCAGGCATAGCATTCAAAAGTACTGTAAGAGTGATTCTTGAGCATGATGGAAAACGCATGCATTAATATGATGTTATCCAGCTTCACCATGTTGTAGTTTACTGTATGCTCACTAGGAATGGATTTAACAAGTAAATTGACAGAACGTCAGAGATGTACAAAGGGTTAAGCGCTAATAAGTGTATTGGAGGGAGGTTTTTTTTTCTCATCTAGATCGAGGGTGATGAAATATAAATGTATCATAAAATTATAATTTGTGCAGTCTGTTTATAATTCTTCTTCGTAAATGTTACTCCAGAGAAAATATTGAGGAATGATTAGCAAAAACATGGGATTAGTTGTTTGAGTCTCATTTGCAAATGATTGTTCTGATGCGAAATAACATCAACAACGGCCCGGCATGGTCAGGTGGTTAAGGCACTCGACTCGCAATCTGAGGGTCGCGGGTTTGAATCCCCGTCACACCTCAAAAAAGTCGAACACTCAAGCAGAAATGAATTTTCTCTGTTTATCATGAGCATCAACAAACATAGACTTTCATAAAAACGGTTGGGCAAAAATCAAATGAGTAAATTCCCTAACTCGCAAAGTATGTCGTAGTCATCCCTCTTCCACAATAATTTTTTCTATATTGTGACATTTTTACCATCTTTAAC